TATATATATAAGGAACTTAAATTAGATTTCATTTTCTGGCAGTTGCAATGAAACCATCAAACTCATAGAATTAAGTAAAACTACTAAAGAATTGAAGCAAACAATACTTCTGAGGAATAATTTTACAATTAGTACCGTTATACTGAAAAATATTGCTGGTAGTGCGGTGACATAACGTCCAGACAAGGACAATTTATATTTGTTAAATAAGGTTGGCCACCAAGAAAGCATCTGTGACTGCCAGTCCTGCCAGAGCAGTTGAGGAATAAAATTTTTTTGGTCCTGATCCCTTTCCATAGTTTCTAAAGAAAAATACTACAAAACTGAAATTCACAGTACTGATTTTCCACAACGAATCACGAAGCTGGTTTATCTTTGTCGGCATAAAATTCATTATGCGAAGTTTCTTCAAAATAACCAAGCACAGTGAGAGACTAACCGATTGTGTATGACTCCAGAAAAGTCCCAAAATTTTTTAAATTAATATTTGAGAACCGCCAATCTTGAAGGAAGAAACCAATCCAAATGGTCCACGTTAGGAAGACAACCATTACAGCTCTCTAAGCAGTAAAGAAATTTCGCATTTCAGAAGTACAGCAGTTGCAGTAAAAGCATGCTTTTTGACGAGATGTTTGGCACCAAAATTGAAACAAAGGAAATGAGCAAGGAATCATTACATGAACTATCCGAGTTCTGGTCCAGTAGTAGAGCAGGCGCACACGTATTAACGAATAATGAACTGTACCATCAGAGGTAATAGAAGAAGTCGTTCTTCTATGAGCTATAAAAGAAAATAGCAAAATAAGAAGCTTGTAGTGAATCATAACAACTCCTTAGCAAAAAGCCAGAAAATGAAACAGCAAAAATTACTTTTTTGCTTTTTGTCTTCTAAATCAGCCTTATAAATTCTCATCTGAGAATCTGATTGAACTCTGAACAGTTTTGTCTTCTTTTTAAACAACTTTGGCCAAATTCGAACAAACGGACACCTAAATTTTCGCTTTTATTTTCGCAAAGTTTTTTCTTTTTGCTACAAGACACTATGGAGTACAGTTTTTAAAGAAGTGTGTAGCTTTTAGTAATTATTATTAAAACATCTTTGAAAAAGAGCAGTAAATGCGATATTCAAAAAATCTACTTTGGATTTGAATAATTTTTATACTGTCGGATATCCGAAAAGAAGAGCATTGACGAAAATCGTTGTTTTTCCTCTGGGTCAAGTCTCAACAAGTCAAGAGTCAGGCAAGGGGCATAAAAAAATAGCTGAAAAAATTGCGTGTTAAAATTCAAAATCTACCAGTATTTTGGATATCAGTTAAGCATAAACCTACTCCTTAGTCAACAGCTAGAAACAAGCACTGAGACATTAAACAGAAACTCAATAATAATACCAAATAAACACACGTTCCATAGCATCCAGTGCTTGAATATTTCCCGGAAAACACCAAAAAATTTTACCTGCATATAGAAGTCGATAACAAGCCCAATCCATGCAAAGACGCAGAACTCTTGGATTTCTGAGACGAATGTTAAAAAGCCAACAAAAAGAAAAGCCATTTCGAGTAAAAAATATTTTGTGAATGAATAACCCTCCTGACTAAGACCATGAGAAATACGGGAGCGAACATCCATTGCAGGTGGCGTATAAACAACAGACCTAGCAGTGAAAAATTAATTTAATGTACAATTTTTTTTTTAAAAAAAGTGTTATCTACACGAACAATGACGTGAAGCTGAAACAAGAAACAATATGTCAAATGCGTTGACTTTTAATTCTTCATCGGAATAATATAAATCTTACCTTGTCAAGCAGAGCGTATTTTCCAGACCGACAACAAGAGCTAAATATGGAAAAAGCTCAGCACCCCAAAGAGTTGGCAACATACTGAACTGCACACAGATGCCAGCAGTCATAATTGAGGTTGCAGCAACTGTAACAACTGCTGCCAGGGCTAGCCCCCACTTGCTCTTCACCATAATTATTTTCGAGACAGAAAAGTATAAGTAAAACTAAAATAAAAGGTATATTAACAGAGATTATTAGTAAAAGAAATGAACTGTTAGAACTGCAGGAGAAACTCACCACGAGAAGAACATACGAGAGAATTAACGGAAGGAAGCTGGCAAAATATTTTCGAGGCCTAAAAAAGTGAAATTTTGGGTTTGAAACAAACTAACTTTTTGGTGGAGACTGGTAGTGACGAGGTCGTTAATAGACAATAAAAATTTTGGCAATATATTGCTGAACTGAGACTAAAAAGAAGACCGAACAAAGAATTATTACACCTTAAGTTGGTTAAGTAATAACGGTCAGAAAAATAAACAATTTTCAGTTTTCTGGAATGAAATTTTTCAAGCTCAGAACTCACCTGTAGAAAACATGCTTGAAAAATGAATCTTGATGCGGAGAGAGATTTAAAAACGAAAATTTCCGCAAAAGATGCGTTCTCAACGAATCTGCAGTAGAATTGTCTATTTTGGCCGCAAACAATGTTAGGCCGTAATAAAGATCTGAATAGAAATTTACGTAAGGTGAAGTACTGCACTTCAAGTTTTAGATAAAAAGTAAATCTTTTAACAACTGTTCCCAGCACACTTACTAAACAACGGTACATTTTGATCATAACTGCTTTTTATCCCTGTTCCATCCAAGGGCATGCCTAAGAAGAGGTCCCTTACACAAAACGATGATCTGCAAAGAAAAGAGCGCATCGTTTTCACGACATCAGGGTCCTGGAAAATTTGTTATCTTACCAGGTGGTACTTCAACAAGCAAAAGAATAAACTAAAAAAAAAGCAGACTACAAGATTTGAAACTTCTTTAAAATACGACTATATAAAAAGTCACTCTCACAGACCTTATAAAATAATCCCACATTGCTTTTCCAAAAGAGCGAAGGAGAAAGTATAAGACAACCGTTTGAAGGTAACCCCTCGTTCAGTTCATGACCGTCATTAGACACTTTAAGGCATGCAAAGTGCGATTTGGCAGTTTCAGTTGAAGAAAATGTGTTAAGCTCATTGTACAGCTCAAAGCTATGCGATAACAACCCCCTTAAAACCTAAAATAAATGGACTGAAAAAAATTATTTACTCTGTCTGTTCCATAAGAACCAATAAATGTTTCAGCTACAAAGCAAAATGCTTATCATAAATTAATTCAATGCAAATGCTAGAAGCGACTATAGCCCCTAAAAATTATGTGAAAACTAGAGCTTAATTTATTTTGACCACCAACATCGTCATTAGTCCAAAAGTGCTGATTTTCCGACGAATTAAAATGAGCCTGGATGACTATATGTTGTATGTATGCAGTGGTGTTTTGTGAAAGCCACTTTGGGCCATTTTCTTCTGTAAAATTAAACCTTCACTACATCCATACT